AACAATGCTGGTTTATAATCAGATAATACAACAACTCCTTTCTAACGTTATGATCTATAACAAGGTAGACTTGCTCAAGTCTGTAATCTAGCTCCTAATCCATTGCTTAATCCATGAAAGGGACCTTGCTGCCCTTTCATCATCGTTAAGTTTATAATACTTTCCTGGTCCCATTAATAACAAAATATCTAACACTAAATAGGTTCAATAACTAGGATGTTTCCCATTGCCTTTGTATAGCTAGAAATAGTCCTCCACACCAGTTTATACAATGACGGCCCTTGCAATGTGTTAAAAAACCAAACTTCAGTGAAAGGGAAATTCCTGATCAAAATGTAATCCGGTAAGTTTTGTGTGTAGGGGACATTTATACAATCCCCAGGGAATGTAAGATGAGGATGTAGTGAACTTTTAAACCCTCCATGAGTAATTATGTTCCAGGGCAACTTATATGAATGTGCAAACCCTTGGGGTATCCGTGTAGACCGCGTAGAGATGTGAGTATCCGTGTGGAATCGGAGCGACCTATCAGAAGTTGTGTCCTATGGGTGCATGCCTCATCGTTTTCAACAGCGCAATCTGTGTGTGCAAAAATTAATTTACAAAGATAGTAAATTTTACAATTTCACACACCCAGTAACTTTGGCATTTTATGAATTTGATCTTTATCTTTCACATCAGAACATTTCTGAAATTGTCGGTTATATTTTAAGATTAAAATTTAATTCAGTTGTTATTTTAAAGTAACATACTTAAAACTCATCACAATGAATCACTTTAATTATAGCTATTATATGGTGGGATTTTTGAGATTGCTGATAAACAGAAGCTACATTATTCCTGAAATTAAAAATAATTTCAGACTCGGAGATTGCTGCAGCGTTGAAAAGATGGTCGTGTGTAATGAAGTTATTGATTCTTTATTTTAATGTGCAGTTTGGAATGTATTGATTGTGTATGCATGTGCACCATATCTCCTACCTATTCCTTTACCTTAACTCAAAAATATACCATCATGAGATTCTGATCAACTATTACAGAAAACAGGGATTTTTAAGATGTTACAGAGAACAGGGATTGTTAAAATATTCGAGAGAACAGGAATGGTTAAAATATTAGAGATGAGAATGGTTAAAACCAATTTTAAGTCTTGGGAGGAACAGCAATTTTCAGAAAGTCAGTGTTTTGACTTTTTCCTGCATATTTTCAAAAGTTTAAGATTAAACAATATTGGTATCCTTATTTTTGTCTGTCTTTTAATAATTGAAATGGTTAACTCTGGAAACCTAGGCCTCATTCTGCACACTAAATCAGTGATGTCTGGAAACCTAGGCCTCATTCTGTACACTAAATCAGTGAGGTCTGGAAACCTAGGACTCATTCTGTACACTAAACCAGTGATGTCTGGAAACCTAGGCCTCATTCTGTATACTAAATCAGTGATGTCTGGAAACCTAGGCCTCATTTTGTACACTAAATCAGTGATGTCTGGAAACCTAGGCTTCATTCTGTACACTAAATCAGTGATGTCTGGAACTAGGCTTCATTTTGTACACTAAATCAGTGATGTCTGGAAACCTAGGCCGCATTCTGTATACTAAATCAGGGATGTCTGGAAACCTAGGCCTCATTCTGTACACTAAATCGGTGATGTATGGAAACCTCGGCCTCATTATGTACACTAAATCAGTGATGTCTGGAAACCTAGGCCTCATTATGTACACTAAATCAGTGATGTCTGGAAACCTAGGCCTCATTATGTACACTAAATCAGTGATGTCTGGAAACCTAGGCCTTATTCTGTATACTAAATCAGTGATGTCTGGAAACCTAGGCCTCATTCTGTATACTAAATCAGTGATGTCTGGAAACCTAGGCCTCATTCTGTACACTAAATCAGTGAGGGCTGGAAACCTAGGCCTCATTCTGTACACTAAACCAGTGATGTCTGGAAACCTAGGCCTCATTCTGTACACTAAATCAGTGAGGTCTGGAAACCTAGGCCTCATTCTGTACACTAAATCGGTGATGTATGGAAACCTCGGCCTCATTATGTACACTAAATCAGTGATGTCTGGAAACCTAGGCTTCATTCTGTACACTAAATCAGTGATGTCTGGAACTAGGCTTCATTTTGTACACTAAATCAGTGATGTCTGGAAACCTAGGCCTCATTATGTACACTAAATCAGTGATGTCTGGAAACCTAGGCCTCCTTCTGTACACTAAATCAGTGATGTCTGGAAACCTTGGCCTCATTCTGTACACTAAATCAGTGATGTCTGGAACTAGGCCTCATTTTGTACACTAAATCAGTGATGTCTGGAAACCTAGGCCGCATTCTGTATACTAAATCAGGGATGTCTGGAAACCTAGGCCTCATTCTGTACACTAAATCGGTGATGTATGGAAACCTCGGCCTCATTATGTACACTAAATCAGTGATGTCTGGAATCCTAGGCCTTATTCTGTATACTAAATCAGTGATGTCTGGAAAACTAGGCCTCATTCTGTACACTAAATCAGTGATGTCTGGAAACCTCTTATGTAAATTTGTCAAATCTGGATACCTGTATAAACCAGACATTCAGCTTAGGCCCCAGTAGAATGTTGTTATTGACAGAAATAAGATACTTCACCGCTTCTAATCAGAATCTGGTATAGTTGGGTATAGAACGGAGATAAAGGTATATTACTTTAAATCAAGGTCCTTTTTATGGGAAAAAACTGTTGTATTTCAGTAGAGGAGGACATCTTACAGTGTAATTGACATGTATGTATCTGTGTTCTGTTGTTAATCGTTTTTAATTCATTAGTAGTTTGAGTGTGTATCAGTGTAAATAATAGGGTCCTCTCATCAAATCATCATCTACTGTTCTTGTAATCACATCTCATATTTAAGTTTACTCTCGCACAGGGTACAGGTACTAAAAGTCTCAGTGTGCCAAACACAAATGTCACCACAAAGGCTGACCTTAGTGATAAACCACCCCTCTGATCTTAATTAAATCAATGGACACACTAGTGCACTGATACACCCTTAATTAGTTTTTTTGTTTTGTACACTGACATTTTTGTACTCCTTCAGAGTTCACTGGACGATGCGACTGACCCCTGGGGTGTCAAGGTAGAGCGTGTCGAAGTGTAAGTACTCCTAACAATGTACACTGATGTAGGGGTGTCAAGGTAGAGTGTTTCCTAGTGTAAGTACTCCTAACAATGTACACTGATGTAGGAGTGTCAAGGTAGAGGGTGTCCTAGTGTAAGTATACTCCTGACAATGTACACTGATGTTGGTGTGTCAAGGTAGAGTGTGTCGAAG